CACACACACACACACACACATACACACACCTTGCAAAATTTAAACATTAACTTAATAGACACATAGCCTCCAAACCAAATTGTTTCTCTAAGAAAATATATTTTTAATAACACAGAAGAAATGTTTAAGGGCAAAAGAAATGTTAAGCATGCCCAAAATACTTCTAAAGGAAAAGGTTATCATGAAGCCCTTCAGATAATAATCAACAAACCAACTGGCCATTTGTTGACTACAGTGGTACTTATGCTAGCTGGAACCATATTGTTGTAAATTAAAGGGAAATGTAAAAATGTTTTTCCAACTTTAATTTCAATGTACTAATTTACTAGGCAAGTGGTGTGAAAAGTTACTATTCAATTAATATGGATGGTGAGTCATACCTTAAATTCCTCCAAGATTTTGTAATTTTTCCCATGGTATTCACAAAAGTTTTTCACTTCTTTGCACTCAGGACAGCATCCATTGTGTTCCACTTTAGTACACTTTGGGTGAATTTTAGGACATTCTGGCTGGTCGCAAACAGGTCCATCCAGAGCACAGACACATGGACAGTTGGAATGCCCTGGGAAAAATCGTTCTCCCAACTTGTATACAAAGCCGCTGTCATCCACACACCCTTTGCCTCGATAGTCATCAAAGATCAGATTGTCATTACTGGACATTTGGTCACCTTCATCAGCAGGATAGTCTTCATGACTGATGGCAGCAGGGGTGACCAATCCAGGGATGACCAACAGAAGTATGCAGGCTTCATGAATATGAAGAGCCATCCCCCTCCTCAAAGGCTTCTGGATGTGCTCCCAATATTAAATATACTCAGCTCCTTCCATGGGAATGCAAGAGGGGTAGGCTGAAAATAAATATTTAGAAAGAATAATGTGACATGTATAAAGAGAATGCAGATTCATTTAAGCCTATGCTTTTAACCTGCTTGTTTGGGATCTGCTTGGAAGATAGACCTCAAATAGACTAAGTTCATGCAACTATCTACACTTTATTATGAACTTTTTAGAGTTGGTCCTTGACAACATATACATTATAATTTGTGTTTTATGGAATTATCTCACCTAGGAACCTCCAGTTTGAGTGATAGAATGCATATACATTACAATTATCTGTATGAAAGTTCAAGAGCTTAGTGAGAAAAATTCTACTTCTAAGTAGGGGAGAAAAGAGAGAAAGGGGAAAACAACAACAACAACAACAATTGAATAGAAATTATAATTGGAATGGATTCAGTACAAAGGCCTTCCTAGTTTATGCTCATCATTGGAGAACAATGGTCTCGATATGGGTTACTTGTTTTAGTTAACATAAATCTGGATTTTAAAGCATAGCAAGAAGAAAAATAGCACAACTGTTTCACAGTGAATAAGAGAAAAGAAATTTAAAATAATAAATACAAGAAGAGAACTGCATGTATTAAAAATAATTTGCTAAAAATAAATTTATTTGTATTATTGTCCATACCTTTATTTTACTTAGGAAGTAAGCTCCTAGTGGGCAGGAAAGATGTATCTGTGAATTTTATTTCACAGAATCATTAATCTAGTATCCTTGTAATACTATTTGAATTATACTTCAATATATAATAAATACCATTCATACAGTCTTGAATACATACTTCTCTTTTGACATGCCGAAGATATTTGCATTTTGTACAAAAATGCCAGTGTCATTTTGCACAAAAATTCCAGTGTAAAACTATTAAAATTTCTTAAAACAATAATGAGCTGTTACCATTCACAGAAAATATGCCTTATTAGTTTGGTGGCATTGACTCCTGAAAACTTCACTTAGTATTAGGGCTCATGTGGAATGTTGCTACTGGGCTCTTATTTAAATGTTTAGAGTGACTAACTCACACAAAAACTCTGGGGAAACTGTGACTTTAGGGAGTAATAGCTAAGGAAAAATGTCAAATAGTTCATTTGTCTATCTAAATCCTTTTGGTTTTATGCCAATATCACTAAGATTGTCTATAGGACATATTCAGAGATCATTTATCAATATTATTTATTGGTTTATTTTCAGGTTATAATAAGACCAATGATAAACAATCTCTTTCCAGTCTAACATACACTGATCATAATCTTAAATAAGACAAACTTGGCATTAGGAAACTTCATGAACTATTAATATTTGCTTCTTAAGTTAGCTATGCAAATTCTAGTAATAGTAAAATGGAAGGTAGTATATTTATGCCCTCTCTTCAAGAGAAAACTGCTCTTTGATATTAGAATTCCTGTTGGGTAGGTAATGATAAAGGAGATAGATTAAAAAAAATATGTCAAAAATAATGAGTCATGACAGAACAAAAAAATGCAAACCTATAATTCTACTCGAGAAGCTGGAAGCTCTCTTTGACAAAGCATTTTTTTTCCCTCTGAAATTACTATAGAGGCCACAAACACAACAGAAGCTTCTGAAAAAAATCATACATATATTTTACTAATTAAGGCATGCATTTTATACATCTCTCACATATTTAGAAAGTTTATTTTGGAAGAAAAAAAGGGCTACTGTGATTCCTTGTAGTATTTCAATGGTATCTGTCAATACATGCAAGATAAGCCATATAAAATACCCATATTATTCTGCTTCAAAAGGACATAGACAAAAATTACCTCTTTGCAAGCCACAGGTAGGCATTAATGTGTCAGGTTATGGTAAATGTAAACTTAAAGGTAAAAAAGGGGTGTGATATTCACTCTATATAAACATTAAACATGATTTTTTATATGAAATGCATTTTAAAATCTGCATGGAGAAAAGATTTTCTTTTTAATATAACAAAGTTCTTAGGCTATTTTTTAAAATCCCTCTTAATAATTGAGCTGCTCTAGTTCAGTTTAAGACACTATTTATTTAAGAGAAAAAACAACATTAGAGAAATCCAATCAAATGTTTATCTGAAGATTTTTAATAAGTAAGTAGACATTGCTAAACAGATGATCACTTCCCAGCTAAACTTTCCCCCCTCCCCATATTGCTACGTATAATTTAAAATGACTGCATCTATTTCTCTGAGAAAACAAATATAACTCATGTCATAAGATACACTTACCTAATCACTCTGGAGGTTAATGGTGGTGATGGGGGTCATAGACCAATATGAACTAAAAGATCAGGTATGCTTTAAGAAAGCAGTTTCTCTTTAATTATCCAAAGAATACATTTTCAGGCTTGAATTAAAGGCAATCCATTCTCTCTACCTCCCATTTCAAACCACAGTCAAGAAGCAGTCTCCCGCCCTTCCAGAGAGAAATACAGCAGACACACATAAGAAATATGCTTTGGACCTGTCTTCAGAATTCAAAGCAAGAAGGAAAGCTGGTCCTGTAGAAATCCAGACCCCAGTAGCAGAATCATGTTGAACTTATATTTAGCATTTCCCCCGATCCTTCTATGAAATTTCCCGGCTGATTACGCCTCCTCCACACATGAGTTCATTTACACAGTGTTTGCTACGGCAGTAGAGGTGATTTGGCTAGGCTCTGTGGATCACAAACAGCAACAGCATGCTGAAGCTTAAAGCCCACTCCGCTGGCAATAACATCAGCATCATCCACAATATGTTACTCGAATCCCCTCTAACACACCAGAAAATACTAACTGTGGACGCGAAGGAAAGGAGCAACTTTAGCTGGGTTTCTGCATCACTGAGAGCAGTTTGCAGACTGCTGATTTGGAGCTCATTCTGCCGGCAGCCGGGAATTCCTCAGCACCACGGACAGCGCCAACTGGCTTCTGAGCCCATCTCGGTCGAAATCCGGAGCTGCTTCTCTAGACCAGGCTAGTGTTCTCTAAGCAGTAGCACTTAATACAGCTGATGCATGCATTAGGAGGGGGGGAAAGGCACTTGACGTGCGAGATACTTATTTGCATTGAAATCACAATAAAAAGACAACAACATTGTAATTATTCTTAATGTATTCTTGGATGGGCTACGGAGATGAAAGTTCCGGAAGAGACCTGCATTTAGATTTAAGTCATCTGCAGTCTCTGACTATTATTATTAATAGATAAAGCATAACCTTTGTCAAAGAATCTGTGAAGATGTATACTCCCCGATTCTCTTTGACCCTTTAGTTGAAGAAACACTTTCCCTGTGCTACATGATTAAACTTCAGGTCTTCCTGCAGCTTGAATTTGATTTTTTAAAAAGTAGCCTGGTTCTCCTGCAGTGTGTTCTCTAAGATTCAAAATCAATCTCCTGTAATTCATCTAGTCTGTCATTAGGCGTCATTGTAAAGCTGTTTCCTCCAAACCCCTAGCAAAGATGCTCTGTCTCTAAAATCTTATCGAAATGAGAAAGAAAAAAGACCCATACACAAATAAATGAGCAGAAAGTTTTTTTTTTATTGGTAACAGTATGAACACTAAAATATGTGTTTAAAGCATGTTTTAAAACAAATTGTAAATGTTACCTGCTGGCATATTTAACCAGATATGTACTGATTTGGGACTACATGAGAGGCATTTTCAAGCCTTAAAGGGAATGCCCTCTGCAGTGGGATATGCTGACCATCAAGACCATTTTTGGACAGTGCCATCAGAGCCTCCAGAAAACAGACTTTCTCCACCACGAGAAAACACGACCGTGTGAGCCTCATCTTCATGGCCCATCAGTTTGTGAATCTGTCCTGATTTAAGATCCAGCAAATGAATAATCCCGCTGCCACTCGCCTGAGCTAATACTCGACCTGAGAGAGAAAAAGAGAGAGAGAGAGAGAGAGAGAAAGATCAAAGTTTCATCTCAAGCAGTCACAATTTATAAGCAATGGGATATACAGTTTTGTTTCAATTTTAATTCAACAGACTCATTTTATGTTGGATGTCAGTCATTAAATATGAACTAACTCCTGTCAGTATAGGGAATAATTCCTGCCCAAATTAAGACATGCCAATGATTACATTATAGAAATTTTAAATAAGGAAGTAACACGTAATGCTCTACCTGCTTTATGTGCAGAGGTCATAAAATGCCTTGCTAGTCTTGTTATATTTTGGGATTAATAAATAATTTTGAGAAGGTGAGATTAAAAGCACTAAGCAATGCAGCTTTTTTAAAGTGAATTATTTGTGAAAAATTGTTTAAAAAGCATAGGCTTCACATGTATCTATGGCAAAGCTCTAAACACACACATATGAGAGAATATACATGTGTTATACATATATATATAATTTCTACTTTACATGGATACTTTATATTTTAAAATTTGCATTATATGTCAACTTTTTATTATAATTATGCTGAATCATTACCTAACACTGTGATAATACACTTATTGTTTTAAATTGTGATATTAATTCAACAAATTTCTTTGCAGTAGAACTGAAGATACCTCCATTTCAAAGATAACTTCGGTTTTGTTCTCTAATTTAAATTTCAAAATACTGTTACATTTTTGTTACATAAGAGAATTGAATGCATCACAGAGTATTCACATAAATTGTATACCATATATTTTCGAGTGAATAACTTCTTTAAAGGAAAAATCATATCACCAATCCAGCTCTAATACTTTTATTTTTAGAAGTCCAGTGGCAAACAATAAGGGAATTTGGAGGTAAGTAAAAGCCGTAAAATATGTTTGCATAAGTACAGTACATGGGATGAGGTAAATAAGTATGATATTAGTACTATTCATGGGATTATTTAATCATCCTTAGAAGGCATAAAGTATTTCAGTAACAACATTTCACATTTATTAAACTCTTTCAAGATGCTAGATTTAGTACCCAGCATGGATAATTCCATATAATCCTTACAATAATCTAATGATAAATAAAATATTAACTCTGTTATAAAGGTGAATAAAGAGAGGTTGGGAAAGGCTAAGAAACTTGCTTAAGATGATATCCCATGTATGGAGGGAGTTAGCATTTAATCACAAACACTTTGAATCTAAACCTTGGGCTTTTAGTCATTATGTTCTCCACTTCCAGTGTAGCATTGTTATCAGTGATGACTTTTTGACAGGTTTTAAGTAGGTGATATACTGTCGAAATAGAATTATCCATTTCATAATGAAAATTCTATAATGATATCACCATAAAAGTCACAGTGAAATATTTAATCACAAATTATACTTAAAATTATCATAATATCTCTAAAACAGAGAAAAGTTATAAAAGCAAAGCTAATCATGATAAATATGGCCTATTTGCAAACCTTTATAACTACTGGGCTTCTTCATCTAGAACAAAGCCTGACACAGCAAATATCCTTAGGATGGATTAGAGTGTCCAAAGCAGCAGATGTGAATATTTATTATAAACCCTGTTCTACTATGTCTTTGCTGACAGAGGCATTGCATATGGATTTCACTCCCAGTCTCACTCTATAGGCAATTGCTGTTTGTGACTTTCCTAAGAATCAGATAAATAACATTTTGTTGTAGTCTTCATACAACAGCTAGGAAGGGGGGTAGATATTTACTATTTTTTTTAAGCCATGCAGAATCAAAACCCATAAAGAAAAAGGAAATGATTAGCTTTAAACCATTATCTTTTGTTGAAGTCAAATCTGTAAAGTTTATAATTAGACATACAAAGATTCTTGTTAATTTCTGAGTTTATTCAATAAAATAGAGAAAATGATAGTATTGGAACTTAATGATAGGATTATACAATTCAGCAGCACCAGGCCTCAGGTATCAAAAAAATAATTTGCCTTTGCTAGAACAGACTTGAGTCAGCAAGTTTATGGTATAGTTTTTCAGGTTTACTTGAACTAAGAGATATAAATGTATACTCATGTTTAATTTTATTTAAAGTATATTGGATTAAGGTGAAGATGGCCACCATGAAAGAAGACCCTGAACTCACCCCTTTTTCTGGACAAACTGAATATACACCTACATATAGAGCAATTCATCCTGAAAAACTGGGGTCTGATTGAAGAGCTTCTGCACAAATGAGAGAGGAACCAAATAGAGAAGGGTAGGAGGGAAGGTAACATGGCAATCATGGGGACCCGATTCCCATGTGTGACTTACAGTAGGGAGAAATATCACTGAGGGGCCCTTGGAAAACTCACCTGCTCTGGGGTATAGCAATAAAATAGCAATTTAAAGGGCTCCTAGACTATACATGAAAAAATTCCATTTACTGACCCCAAGACACCTGCCTAATAGGTGGAGAACTGCAGGAAACCCCAGGATGTGCGGGAACTCTCAGGGATCAGAGATGCTGATGAACACCATTGTTACATTCCCTCTCCACCTAGACAGTGCAGATAGGAGCATGGTACAAGCACTCTGTCCACCTGCAAGGTCTCCACAGCATGCTCTGGCCACCTCAGGTAGTGCCTGTTGCAGCTCCAGCCCACTGATGCACCAGGTTGTTCCTGGTGCCACACATACCACCTTCAGCTCCTGCTGACCTGTCAAAGCCACCCAACACATATAATCTACACAGAGGTTGCTCCTACACAAAGCCACTACACTTTAAGATTGGAAGAGATAGGTGTTTTGTCTAATACTTAGAAGCAAACACAGAAAGTAAGACAAAATGAGAAGACAAAAGAATATGTTCCAAATGAAAGAACAAGTGAAAAGAAAAGGAATAAAATCCCCTAATGAAATTGAGATAAGTAATTTGTCTGATAAAGAATTCAAAGTGATGATCTTAAGGCTTCTCACTGAACTTGAGAGAATGCAGGAACTCAGTGAGAAACATCAACAGAGAGACATAATAAAGAACAAACTAGAGCTGAAGAATACAATAAGTAAAATGAAAAACAAAACAAAACAAAATCACTAGAGGGAATCAACATCAGATTAGATTAGAAGAATGAATTTAGTGATCTGGAAGACAGAACAGTAGAAATCACCCAATCAGAACACCACCAACAACAACAAATTTAAAAATTAGGATGTTTAAGGGACTTCTGGGACAACATCAAAGACAGTAACTTTCACATTATTGAGATCCCAGAAGAAGAAAAGAGAGAGAAAAGGAAAAAAAGAACTTACTTGAAGAAATAATGGCTAAAAACGTCCCTAAAGTGGGGAAGGAAACAGACATCTAGGTTTAGGAAGCATGGTGAGTTCCAAACAAGGGAAATACAAGGAGACACATACTAAAACATATTGTAATTAAAATGGCAAAAGCTAAAGAGACTCTTAAAGGCAACAAGAGAAAAACAACAATCACACACAAGGGAAACCTCATAAAGATGTCAGCTGATTTCTCAGCAGAAATTTTGCAAGCCAGAAGAAAGTGGCAGGATATATAAAGTGCTGAATAAAACCAACAACCCAGAATATTCTACATGGCAAGATTATTAATCAGAATTGAAGGCAAGAAACACAGTTTTCCAAAAGAGCAAAAACTAGAGTCTGGCATCACTAAACTTACTGTACAAGAAAGGTTAAAGGATTTTCTTTAAGTAGGGGAAAAAGGGCCATAACCAGAAATTTTAAAATTTTAAACTAAAAAAACTATGGTCTTAAAATGTATTTTATATATAAAACATCACAGATGAAGGCAGTAAAGGCAGGGGGCCAGCCACTTCAAAAGCTAGTATAAAGGTTAAAACAAATATGTAAATAGAGGATACACAAAACAAGAAGATGTAAAATAGGATGTAAAAAACAAAGTGTGGAGGAGAGAGTAAAATTGTGGCATTTTCAGAATGTATTCAAAATAAAATGCTTAGCAGCTTAAAATAGACTGCTATATATCTATATTTACAGATATATAGATTATAGATATAGATATACAGAGTGTCAAAAAAAAGGTATACACATTTTAAGAAAGGAAAACTGTACTAAAATTGTAATATTCAATATACACCAATAGCAAAAGATGAATACAAGTCACGTTTGACTTCCAAATTACAAGAGGTACTCAAAGTGGGTACCATCAGCATCCAGACACTTCTAATTATGGCAAACTACTGCTTGAGCAACGTTGACTAAGGTGTCTACTTGCATGCTTTTGTTTGGCAGCCCTGGTAGATATAGATGAACCATATGGTAACCACAAACCAAAAACCTACAAAAGTATACAACATTTTGTTATAATGTTATATAACACTAAAGAAAACCAGCATATACAAGGAAAGAAACCAAGAGAAGAAG